ACGAGTCTCTGGCCAGGAGTTGTGTGTTAAGAGTGCTTGCTGCCATCCAGAGGACCTGAGTTTGGTGCCCAGCACCCACATCAGGTGGCTCACTACCACCTGCCAGGGTATCCAAATTTAGAGGATGCTCTCGTCTGGCCTCAGAGGACACATATGTGACACACACTCACAAGGACACATACATTAAAAACAAATCTAAAAAATATGTTTTTAATATAGAAGGATTCTTTATAAGATTTTAGTTGTTTTATATATGTGTATGAGCACTTTGTCTGCTTGTATGAATATGTATCACAAGAGTGTCTAATGCCCTCAGAGGCCATGGTGGCTCTCCTGGAACTTGAGTTATAAATGGTTGTGAGCCGCCAAACATGGGTCCTCTACAAAAGCAGCAGATATTCTTAGCCACTGAGCCCTCACTGTAGTTCATTAAATAAATAAATTAAAATCTTAAGAGACATAACAAGCATGCAAAAAATATTTTTATACATTTCCATCTGAGAAAAAAAAGCAGGAAGATCCATCTGTGGCAATCCATCATGCCTGTTTAATTACCCTGGCACACTGACTTTAATGCATACCCAGACCCTAGCTCAGACCCACATTATGGCCAGTATCTCACTGGCAAGGGGATTCTCACTCTCTCTCTCTCTTTTTTCAAGACAGGGTTTCTCTGTGTAGCTTTGGCTGTTCTGGACTCACTTTGTAGACCAGGCTGGTCTCAAACTCACAAAGATCCTCCTGCCACTGCCTCCCTGACTGCTGGGACTAAAGGCATGTGCCACCTCACCCAGCTTGAAGGGGTCCTCTTGCCTCGGCCTCTCAGGTAGCTGGGATTATAGGCATGGACCACCACACTGGCGCAAGCGTAATTTGTAGCTAGTGGAGGGCACTTGGATTCATGGCTTATCGCTGCCAAACTTAAAGGTAAATCATGGATTGACAACGAGGAGACAAAAGTAATGAAAATTAGCAGTTTCCCCACTTGAGAAATGACGGCCATTTACATTTCCTTCCTTCCTTCCTTCCTTCCTTCCTTCCTTCCTTCCTTCCTTCCTTCCTTCCTTCCTTTCTTCCTTCCTTCCTTCCTTCCTTCCTTCTTAAACATTTTAGTTCTGTACAATGTAAAAGTGTAAGTAAAAATTAGCAACATTAGTAAGCACGACCAAATGGTCACACTTCTTCCCTGCACCTCTGAGGGGAACTCTCTATCAGCTTTACAGATGGAGGAAAACCCAGACCTCTGACGACACCCCGACCCAGGGTCACACTGTAAGAGGTGAAGCTGACTCACCCCACATCTGGGCTCTTAGGTGCTACCAACTTGTCTGTACTGAGGATGGCATCTCTAGCGGCTCAGCCAGGTACAGAAGTTAGCACAAGCAAGAGCCACTTTTATTCCATGGGCAGAGCACTCTGCACGCGCAGGCCACTCAGTGATCTTTAAGGCAGTTCCCACTGTGTTCTTGAACGCTTATGGGATGGGCTAGCTTCACCAGAGCGACACTGAGGCTCACCCAGAAGGGCTCGGGGCAAACTGACCTTATACAACTCAGCCAACTATAAAAGTTCAGGGCTGAAATGGAAGCACAATTGATAGAGCGCTTGCTTAGCACACAGAGACCCCACACTGCAGAAAACAGTGTGCCGGGCATACGCCTGTGATCCTAGCCCCGAGGGAAGTGAGGACAGGATGGTGAGCCACTCAAGTCAGCCTCCGCTACCTAGTACGTTCAACCTGGCTCCCTGAGACCCCGTCTCAAAACAAAACAACCAAAAAACCAAACCAAACCCAAAACTAATCAGTTTATGCTTCCTATCTTGTTGTTTTGAGACGAGGTCTTACTATGTAGCCCTGGCTGGTCTGGAACTTTCTAGATAGTCCAGTCTGGCCTGGGACTTAGAAGATCCATCTTCACCTCCTGGGTGCTGGGGTTAAAGTGAGTGCCACCATATCTGGCTAGTGCCATCTGTTTTAGCTTATATTTCCTATAAAGAGTCAGAGAAAATCCTTAAGCACAGGCTAGGCTACACGGGAAGATCCCATCAGAAAGGTGGGTGTGGAGATGAATAATAAAGAAAAAGGGGGAAAAAGTCCTTTAAAAGGCCAGAGCCAGATGTTATTTCTGTGTACCCTGGAACCTAATTTAACATCCCTAGGCACTTTTTTTTTTTTTTTTAACCTTCAGCTGGCAATGAAATGAAGGCCCTTAATAGAACACCCACCTAAATCTATCTACTGATTCTTGGCGAATTGAACACTTACTGTCAGGCTCTGAGATAACAAAAGCAGCACATTCTGAGCTATAGTTGAGGATTTGGGGCAGATGCTCTAGAAGGATAAAAGAAAAATTATTATCCGACCTCTCCTCGCTTGGTCTGTTTCCTCGCCCCGGCAGAGGCAGCCAGGGCAGTAAGACGAGGCACTTAAGCTCTGCTCACAGCTGCAAAATTGCACTTGACTCCTTCACTCCTGAATAATCACCAGCCATTACCTGCTTACTTTTGCCCTTTGAGAGCCTGGCCACAGAGCAGAGGAGCCAGGCAGGAACCAACTTTCTCCGTCTGGGTTCTTTTTGTCCTGTTTGTTTAACAGCTTATGTTTAGAGTTCTTGGCCATGCGTCCCCTTACGAATTTCCTTCTAGATGAGGTCTGTTGCCAACACCTCTACCGAACTGGCCTCAGATCCCAATCAAGGGCACTCCCTACATATAAACGTTTTTTTTTTTTTTTTTTTAAGGGTCAGCCGCTTGTGGAGGGATTTGTTCCCAGCACTCCCCTCAGGTGGCTCAAAATAACAAAAACGAACAGGGCCAGCCAGAAGGCAGGGGAGGAAAGGTGTTTGGCCCCAAGCCTGACGACTTGAGTTCAGTTTCCCAGCCCCACATGGTGGAAAGAGCCAACTCCAATAACTTGTTCTTGACCCTCACGCCTCTGCTGTGGCACACGTATGTCTTTTCACATATACAAACACATACATATACAAAATTAAATTAGCAAAAAGGAGCACTCCTACATTCAGGCAGCTGGATGAGCCACCTCTCTAGGGTTGGCAGAAACTAGCTGGTTTTTTTTTTCTTGTTGTTTTGAGGCAGGATTTCTCTGTGTAGCTTTGGTTGTTCTGGACTCCGTTTGTAGACCAGGCTGGCCTCGAACTCACAGAGATCCACCTGCCTCTGCCTCCTGCATGCCTGGCTTAGAAACCAATTTTTAAGGTGCCAAAAAAAAAAAAATAATAATAAATAAGGAAGTTCTTTATCTTTGACCATAATCAGGACCAGGGAGAGGAACAGAGTCCCACTAGCCTGGCAGCCACTTATGAAGCCGTCCAGAAGTCTCCTCCTCACCAGTGTCCCCTATCCTTTGGTCTTCAAGGAACCTTCTTTAGATCATTTTTGATGCTGCCCAGGTGATTTGTCATCCTCCCTGAGAACACCTTAGCTAGGATCTCACCACCTCCAACATTTCACTTTTCCTTTAAAACCCAATACCCCCTCAGTTCCCCACTGCCCTCTCACTGCCCTTTGGAGGGTGACAGTTCCCCAAATACATTTCATTAAGAAGCTTGATCTTAGCCCTGTTTCCCAGGTCTGGAGAGCTGAAAGCACCTCCCACCTACAGTCTCCCACATCCATCCTGGAATAATAACACTTAGCCACAAGGACACAGCATAAACCATGACTATGTGTGACCCATGACCTCTTGAGCAAGCAATTTGCAACAGGAGAGCGCCCCTGCTTGCCACATTTCCTTTATGAATCCCTTGGTGGCAGAGAACTCTGTAATGCCACTATTGTTCATGAGCATTCCTGTCTGACTTTTGACATCGGGCCTCTATTCCATGTCACCTGTGTCACAGTTCTAGTGAGACCAGAGCTAGTTATGATAGGTGCAATGGCCATGATGACTGCCTCTTTCTGTGGTAGTTAAGAATGGGTATGTGAACCGAGGCTATGAAAAGGCACTGGCCTAAGTCATGGTAATTGAGAGCACTGATTACATCCTTCACTGGACACTGTTTGTTTTCAAAGACCCAATAAGGGCAAGACTCGACATTTAACAATTGTAATGGGAGAGTTACTCAATACAGTAGGCGAACAATGTACGTCAGACTGGAAGTGTATTCAGGTCAGGGGTTGCTAGCTACATCACAAAGACACTATGTATTCACTTTATTTTCTTGTACTGATTGTGATAATCCAGTGAGAAGTTGCAGAAAACTGTCTACATCTAACTGAAATGTCCTGCTGAAGAAAGTATTTTCTGATGGGTGGATTCTGTCAAATCAGCCCCAGACAGTAACTGAATGTCACATCACAGCTGAACTATTCTCACATTTCACCATGTAGTCTAGGAAGGAAGCAACGTGGCCATAAAAATCTTCATTTTTGCCAGGCAGTGGTGGCACACACCTTAATCCCAGCACTCGGGAGGCAGGGACAGTCGGATCTCTGTGAGTTCGAGGCCAGCCTGGTCTACAGAGTTAGCTCCAGGACTGCCAGGGCTACATAGAAAAACCCTGTCTGGAAAAAAAAAAAAAAAAGAAAAGAAAAGAAAAAGAATCTTCATTTTAAGCCATAGTATTTATTATTGCTTAAGTCTTTGAAGTGGAGCATCAATGAAAAGAGTCAGCTCTCTGTTTGTAGGTATCGTGAATAAACCACCTACAGGACTATTTTCTATGACTTGTTAAAAAAAAAAAAAAAGACATGCCATCAGCTAAATAAGAGAATCAAAAGAAGATTTAGTACAACAGCTCTAGAGGCCAGTGAAATGGCTCAGCCAGTACTTGCTGCTAAGCCTGAAGGCCTGAGTTTGTGGTTACGGGTGGCACACAGCAGTCAGAACCAATTCCCAGAAGCTGTTCTCCGACCTCATGTGCACTCACACACAGACAAGCATACACGTTAAAATCAATGACGCTGAAACCTTCAACCACATTTATAGTGCATCACCTCGGGCACCTTTGGCTATTCTGAAATTATATGGGACACATAAAAAAAATATTGAAAGCTTTACTTTGGTTTGATGAAGTACAAAGAAAGGCAACACAGGTTGTCATTTATACTTTTAGAGTTTGCTTTTACGTACACAATGCTGTGTTAACAAGCTTTGAATGTTTTCATAAAAAATTTATTTCACACTTTTATACAAATATCCACAGGTATTTTTCTAATCATGAAATAATTTTTACAATGCTAGTTAGTATAAAAACCTATCAAATGCAAACAGACCAGTGACTCGACTTGAGATGACATTTTAAACAACTATAAATTTAAACAGCATGACATTCTTGTTTCTTTGTTGTTGAACTCCCTCCCAACGCTTTCCAGGACATTCAGTTTTACAACAAAGATCTACAAACACTGTCAAGCTATCAGCTTCTTTGCTGTGTCCTCTAAAGCCAACGTGTGAGGCTTCAAGCTACCCAAGCAAGAAACTGAGACTTTAAACACTATTAGGACCTGTGGCAGAGAACTTTCTGTAAACAAGGTATCATTTGTAAAATTATTTTTGAGTGAAGATGCCAAAGTAGAACCAGAATAAAAGGCTTTGCTATCGTAAAGGTATAATGTTTTATGAAAGAGAGAAAGAGAGAGAGAGAGAGAGAGAGAGAGAACTCCAAAGCAACAGTGGTACATTTAGCAGTGTTTTCTTGTTTTAAAAGGGCTGGGGCACAGTGCTGGTCTAGCTTGCACAAAGCCTGGTGTCAGTTGCACTGAATGAAGCCAAGTGTGGTGGCACACACCTACAATCATAGCCCAGCCCTGGAATGGGGAGGCAGGAAGATCAGAATTTCAAGGCCAGCCTGGGTTACTCAAGACCCAGTCTTAAAAAAAAGGCAGAGAACTGCTTACACAATATCCAGCCAAATTAGCACCTGTTTGCTATTGCTCCCCATATAACTTAATTATTTTAAAGCACAGTTAAAAGCTCAGCTTTGATAATGTAGTCAATCTCTGTTGAATATATAGAAAAATAACTGGTTTCCCCCTCCTATCATTTTTACAAACAAATGAAAACCAACGTGGGCCCAGGCATGCTAGGTGAGCACGCTAGCAATGAGCTAACCCTCCTGCTTCAGGCCTAAAGGTCTTGTCAAAGTAGTCACAAATCATTTAGAAGAATTTAGTTTGGGGTGAACAATTAAAAAAAAAAAATCAAACATGGACTCTCTGGTTGAGCTGACACTTAGCAGCTCAGTGCTGTGGCCCTCTGTCCGTCTGGTGTGGCCATCTTGGCAACGGATGCGCTTCAGTAGTCTGGCACTGGATTGGTCTGGATCCACCGAGGTGCTCACTTCAGCACTGAATGCACAGTGCCGGCAGCGGCGAGCACACAGACCGCAGAGTTCAGTGAGCAAGCTCCCTTCCTCCAAGAGATCTGCGCTTACAGCACACAGTTCAACAGTTCCACACAGGGCTGAAAACCATGAAACCACCCGATTCTGGGTGAGGACGAAACATCCTACAGCTAACCTCCTTTGTCAAACTTTCTGAGTCTGCCAGGAAGGAGGTGATATCATTTACAGAGAAGCTTAAGTTATTACAACGACCCTTGCATGTTTATAAAGAACTTTCTTTTTGTGGTAGTAATTAAGATCTGAGCAAAACAACAACAACAAAAAGAACCGACCTCCCAGGTTCGCATTCTGATTGCCTAAACCAACCTGAAGCATCTTTGGCCTATTTGCCAACAGCAAGATGGCTTGAAGAAAAAAAAAAAAATAAATATCATAATATAAACAAATGTAACTAGCATTCAAGTCTGTCGCACGTGTGCTTCAGTGATGAGGGCGAAAGAAAGGAACCTGTGTGCGGTTAGCACCGGCGAGGACCCTCACTTCCGGGGAATGGAGAGAGGAGGCCGAATGGGAACATCACCTTCTATTGCACATTCAAGACAGAACTTTCAACAGAGACACAGCTATCCGGTGGCGGGGTCCTGAGCCAGGGGGCAGTCAACCTGCAGGCTCTCCGACCTTCTGGGAAGGGGTGCTTGTGGGGACAGGCTGGGATGGGGGCTCCGTGAGCACCGGCGGTGGTGGGGCCTTCCTCTAGCTGTGCTATCAGGAGAGACGGTCCCAGGGTGTTCACTCAGCCACACCAAAAACCAAAGGCAACCCGGAAAGTTAAATTAAGGCAGTTAAAGAAAAAAAAAAAAAAATCCACCCTGTTAGTTTTAAATTTGGCTGTGCAAAACAGGAGCCTTAGGTGTGACGCTATCCACAGCTGATATACTGCAGGTCCCGTGCTCTGTCGCCAGGCCAAGCAGGCTGAAGCCACCTGAATTTCTGAGCTGGAAGAAACAGGAGGGATTTCGGGTAGTGCGAGGTTTCCTGTGCCCTCTATGAGTAACTTTCGTTTTCGTTCCACTTTGTGACCCACTGTTTTTTTTCGAGGTTGTCGTTGTGTTTTTCGTCCTTGATCTCTCGCTCTTCTTTCCGGATCCGCACAGCGTGGTATCGGGGAACGCTGTCGTCGTACCTGGAGCGCTTAAAGAATCCACACTGGAGAGGGGGGACGGAGGGGGACAGAAAAACAAGACGGGAGCGAGTTAATCTGAAGACCAGAGCCGCTAAATCAGAACATCTACACGTTCAGTTCGGCTAGGTCTACCTGTGGAGGGCTTCGAAGACACTGTTTTCTTAAAAGAAACAAAACACAGAAAGAGCCAGCCGGGCATGGTGGCACAGGCCTTTAATCACGGCACTCAGAAGGCAGAGGCAGGCAGATCTCCGTGATTTCCAGGCCAGCCTAGTCTACAGAGTGAGTCCAGGACAGCCAGGGCTACACAGAAAAACCCTGTCTCGAAAAAAAAAAAAAAAGAACGGGATGAGCAGAGAGAATGGATGTGGGACTGCAGATGGCAAAGTCAGTTTTCATCTTTACATTTTACAACTTCAGCTATTTTTTGACTAACAATTTAAACATTTTTGTAAAACAGTGCTTTAAGTAAATAAAACCATGTAAGTAAAAGATCTAATTTTCACATTACTAGATCATTATAAAACAACATGTGTGTGTGTGTGTGTGTGTGTGTGTGTGTGTGTGTGTGTGTGTGT